GTTTTGAATTTTTCCAAAGGTCTTTTGAATGGCATGCACCTTTCTCCAGAATGGTTTAACCACGCAGGTTTTCGCGCTGTTCGTAAAAATAAATTAGCGTTCCGCCGCTGGCATCGTCCGCAGTCAAGTCAAATCAAGAAAAGCTTTATGCACCCAAAAGATGAATTTTCAGCAGTTTGCGATTTTTACAGTGGATACAGTGGATCGTACCTGGCACGCCGGTCTGCGGGCTGCACTTCAAAAGTTTGGCTTTTCTTCGGAACGTTTATCCTGGACAACAAGCTCTTTTAACGATCGTCAGCCAACACCTTGAGAGAATGCTTCAATTAATTTAGAATATTACGTTCAGTTTGGTCCATTCGATTGTTCACAGGCACCTTTGGTGTTGTCACGTTCAATACCACGCCTGAGCTAAAGGGGCCTCATGCGGTTCGCTATGCCAAGTTCTTGGACTTAGGCTACCGGTTTCCATCACTAAACAGCAGGTGTTAATATTTATATGGTTCACACTTTATGCTGTTCATCACGTAAGTGCGCAATAGAAACTAAAATGTTGATGGTGATCGCTGTGGCTGATTCACTACGACGCTTGGTGCTTGTGAACAATCGAAGGGGTTGAACCAAACGCAATATTCCGAATGCTGATCGGCGCTGTCGGCAGAGAGTTGTATTTGCCGAAGTTTCGGTTACCGTGGATAACCTTTCTCAAGACGGGTCTTAAAATCAAATGACTCAGAGGAAAAGATCACAAATCACCGGCTAATCATATTCTTTCAAAATTCGTGATCTTGATGCAGAAAATATACCTTGTTTCTTTTTAGATGAGCACTACCACCATTATTCCGGTCCTCCTAGTAAATCTCCCCTTTGTTTCTTATTCGATGTAGGTTTAACAAACGCAAACCGATGCAGCTAACGAACCGACAGAAGCCGACAGAAAAGGAAATTTTGGAACGTATGGCCCGATCGCATCGCACACCACCCGAAGGCAGTCAGCTAAGCGCCATCACAAATAAAACGTTCATGAATTCCCTGTTCTCCGGGGGTTTGTGAAACCATAATCAGACTGTTGTCCCGGTCCACGAAAGCCTGAACTTTGTATATAATGTACCTTGACTCATCTTGTACCCATTGCTTATGGGGTGAAAATGAGATGTATAAAATGTTTGATGCTAACCGGCTTTTTTTCCTGATTGCCTTCTCTTATTCCCATGTTTTGATCAATACGTTTGCATTATATTATAATACATTCATCCCCGGTCGTACGTGAAAATTAATTCCCGTTATTGTCTCAAAGGATACCCTTTAGTTTATTCGATCCTGCTGCTTAAATTCTATCAACTGTTCTTGTTTCGAACGGAGTTGGTACAAGAACAAAGCGGTAAACGATGAATCCATGTCACATTTGGAAGGGATACTGGAAGTTGAGCTGTTAACTGTTCATGTTTCATCGTCTTGGGAGAACGAGGCTTATACGATCCGATTCTGAGTGGTTAGTTTCAAAATAAGTGATGACAGTCATTCGACAGCATGCAGATAGTTCGATCTTGGATTACCGGTAGAAAGTAGCGGGGCGGTCTTGAAATCCGCAATCCATTAGTGATCTTGGTCTTCGAATTATACGCCTTTCGCACGGGATCAAACGTCCAGGATGCCCAATACATTTGAACGTCAAATCGCGCCAATGATCACTGCCTCAACCAGAAAGCTGTGTGATTCGTACTCTTATCCATAATTTTTGAATCAGTGATTTTAGCCAGCTCTCCTTGGTGAACTGCCAGCGGTTCACCTACCCGGATATTGGCCTTCTGTCCTCTCACTTTGGTGGGAAAATCACCATTAGAAAGTAGTGTTTAGGGCGTCCACAGTAGAGGCTGTTTAAGACGCCTGATTTTATGGAGGAATTTCGTGAAATGCTAAGGAAAGGTGACCAGTCACAACGTAAAACACCAAGCTTTCTTAGGCTTTCGGAAGCTGATATGTAATGCGCGTTTCCAGATTCGCCTATCACTGCAAGGTCATTTTCTCAAAAGTTTAGTCAATATTTTGGCGGGCACGGATTTGCTCCGATTGAATGGCCCAGGTACTTCAATGGCCACTTTCGTCCAACGCTGAATAGCACATGCATTTCGGTACTGTCTATAAGCATGATGCCTTCTATACTAATAAATAGTATTCCTGCAGCTCTGTTACTACACAAAATCTATTTGTAGAGTATTAGGCCCAAGAGCAAATCATGGTCCGTTTTCTTTGTTATAAAGGTTAATGCGTCGTGATTTGTTTGTCCCACAGTCTTGACTCAGTGGCAGGTGAAATATATCCCCTTTTATCGCTGTTACTTTGGGCTTTGTTCAACAGCTCGTGCATCTACTCAGTCTTCGCAACTGTAGTTTACCCGAATCTCAATCGTCACTTTGGTACTACACCTAGCTTTCTAGTGTGCTCTCTCCAAACCACCATCTAGATGGCTTCCAAAAGACAGCAACGGAAACCGCCACGCGAAAGTAAAAGCTTAATAGTTGTTGAAACTGAATCTCTAAGTAATGCTCAGCAAATTCGTATCCCTAATTCCAAGCGCCCGACAGTGTAGTCATACTCTCTCGGTGAGCGACATGCGTGCCATAGTTTTCACTGGTGTTCTCCGAGCTTGCTTGTTTTTTCACCACGATGAGCGTACCGGGGTTAGAGATGACTAACGGCACCGCAGAAATCGATATTTCGGAATCCACACTCACTTGCTTTCTGCGCTGGATCAGTTTTCCAATGATCCTCTCCAACAAATAACGGAGTGTTTAAATTCATGGAGTAATTACTTCGTGAATTGTCCATCCGTGCAACCGAAGTTCATTCCCACCGGGCAAATGCTGCCCGAAAACCACAAAGTTCCCCAAACAGATTAGTGTTGTTTCCATCCCAATTTTTGTTTTACCCTTTGACCTCCATCCGTACATTTTTCTGTTCAGTCATCGTGATGATTTTTCGAGCCTAACTCCTTAAAAAATATTTTCGGGAGATGCAACGGTGACGAGAACTAAATAGAAATCATGCGTGCGAAAGTGACTGTACAATAAGGTACTGGTTATCCGTAAATCTTGAGTTACGAGAATTAGGGAACTTTGTCCAGTCACATATTACTTACTACCATTGTTATTTATACAGAAAACAGTGCCGGATAGGATAAATAATGTTTCATAGAACGGAACATCTAATTCGCCACAATTGGTTACTATCTTCGTGGTCGTCTCTTCATCGGTGATCACCAGCCTGACAATTTGTTTGCATCCTCTAGTTACAATAGTAAATGCTTTGATCTACTCGCGGATGCTGTGGGAATCCAAAACCGCTTCTTGGTGCGCGCAGACTACTCACAAATGTGAGAAGTATCTCACAACACCGCCACAAATGTTACCTTATGTGGGAAACATTGTTCAAAGTTCACGTTTGTTTATGAATAGGACAAATGATGTTGAACCATGTTCAATTCATGGTAATGGTAACGAAGATAACCTATTTTTTGAAATAGTAGTGACCTTATCGGTTCTTGCGTGGTCAATCTCTT